ATGTTCTGCACGATGTTCACCAGCGAGCCGTGCGAACCGTACAGCACTGTGAGCTCGCGCTGCAGCCAAGGCAATAGTCGTCGCAAACAGCCGGGATTTTGTCGCAAGAACACGGCGGAAATGTCCCTCTGCCTGCCAGCGTCCCTCGAGCTGCGCACTCGCACGCCGGTCCTATAAAGCGCGCGTCGGAACGCCACAACATCTTGGTCGCGCAAACGCCGCAAGCTCCACCCCTCGCCACGCCCATGTCTGCGTGCTGTCAATCGCAGCACCATCTGCTGCACGTCTTGGTTCTCTGCGAGCGCCGCTGCGTCCGTCAGGCCGTCGAACATAACGTCATCCTCTTGCGGAGGGGAGGAGGAAGGGGCGGGGTTTTGCGATCTGTGGCTCCGCCTCTCCCGGCCTCGGAGAACTCGGGGGCGGACCACACGCTCAGGCGGATCGGCGTTCGCAGGCGCTCCGTTTTCCGGTGGACGCAGCACGAACTCCTTAAAGTCATTTTCCCCTTTGACGGAGTGGAATATGGAGTGGAAGGGCTGCTTACAGAGCGGACACTCGGCTTTGTTCTTGGACCACTCGTGGATGCAGCGGAAACAGAACTGGTGCAGGCAACGGTCCAGCGACGCCACGTTATTGAAGCCGTCGAGGCAGATGGGGCATTTGGAATCGGGCGACGCATTGGCCAATAAACGCTGAGAAGATTTCCCAGCGCTGTCTCTCTTCCTCACACGTAGCTTCATCTTAGAGGGCGCCATCATCTACAACACAAAACATCAGCTCGTTAGACAACCTTCGCATTTATGCATTTAGCAGACGCTTTTATCTGAATTAAACAAAAAGTATTCGTAATATCCAGTGCCAGGTTCATCAGAGAACGATGCATGAACATAGATGCTGCAGCATTTTTTATTATTTTCTCACATTACATTTTATCCGAAGCGAATTGCAAATGAGATGCAAGTAATTTATCACACGAGTCAACAACACTTCAAGTGTAAAATGTAGGGCTGCAACTAACGATTATTTTTTCGATTAATCGGGTAAAGCGCCCAATTTCCTTTTTTTTTTGTTTTTATTGTCAAAAAAACACACCATTCCACATTCTGCCCAATGTCCTTCAAACAACCGTGCCAACGGCATGCTATGAAAACATACAGTGCTTAATTTATTAGACCACCCGTAATAATAAAGAGAAAACACAATTATTTTAGGAATCTGTCAAAAAACTGTTTAAATCTAAAAATGTTATTGTCATTTGTTGGGCAAATAACAAACTGAAACAAATAATAGACACAAGACTTGTAATGTGTTTTAAAGAAGACTCTTCTGCTCATCAAGGCTGCATTTATTTGATCAAAAATACAGAAAAAAACAGCAATCTTGCAAAATATTATTACAATACAAAATAATGGTTTCTATTTTAATATCCTTTAAAATAGAATTTATTTCTGTGATGCAAAGCTGAATTTTCAGCATCATTACTCCAGTATAAAGTGTCACATGATCTTCAGAAATCATAATAATATGCTGATTTATTATTAGAATTATCAACAGTTGTGCTGCCAAATATTTTTTTGGAAACTGATACTTTTTTCAGGATTCTTTGATGAATAAAAAGCTAAAAAGAACAGCATTTATTTAAAATATAAATATTTTCTAACAATATAAATCTTTGCTGTCACTTCTTATCAATTTAACACATCCTTGCTGAATAAAAGTTTTAATTTCTTTCAAAAAAGAAAGAATAAAAATGCACTGACCCCAAACTTTTGACCACTAGTGTATATTGTTAGAAAATATTTATATTTTAAATAAACGCTCTTCTTTTTAGCTTTTTATTCATCAAAGAATCCTGAAAAAAGTATCACAGGTTCCAAAACAATATTGTTTCCAGCACTGATAATAAATCAGCATATTACAGATATTCACACAGAAAACAGCTGTTTTAAATTGTAATAATATTTCACAATATTACATTTTTTCCTGTATTTTTGATCAAATAAATGCAGCCTCGATGAGCAGAAGAGACTCCTGTAAAAAACATTAAAAATCATTCTGATCCCAAACTTTTGACCAGTAGTGTGTATATATATATATATATATATATATATATGAGAGAGAGAGAGTTGCAGTCATAAGATTACATAAACCTTACAAAATCTGAAAAATGTTAATAATAATTATGAAAAGTGAAATCATAAAACTGGATTTAGTTTTTTGTTTATTTCGTTCTGCCCTGAATAAACTATTTCACCATCAGGTGTTTACAGCAGGATTAATAGTTGAATTCAAATGTACTAATGAAAAAGGACGTCAAATCAATTGAATTCAATGATTCAAGCATCACTTTTACGATTGCATTTTAGTATAATATAACTTGACTGCAATACAACTCGGCAATCCTTACTATTTTTAGGCTTTCTTGAAATATATGCATACAGTTTAGTTTACATAACTCTTGTGAAATCTGCAAAATGTTAATAAACAATAAAAACCGTGGGATCATAAAAAGTGGATTTTGTTCTGCCCTGAATTAATTATTTCACATAAAGATGTCTGAATATAGTTCGCATAGGTCAGCATTAAGACGCATGTAATACTCACGTGTAATATTTCATATTTTCAATATTTTATATGTATATGGTAAACATTCAGTACCATGGTATACATCAACTAATATTATTATTTTAAATAAATACACTCACAAGTCTCTGAAGACAGCGACATCACTGACACATCTATAAACACTGACATACTGAGAATTATGCTCAAAATCACATTAGAAAAAACACAAAATATTAAAAATGTTTCAAAAATAAGCAGCTACATGCTGTCTGTAATGTTTTGATCGACGATTACGGGATATCTGTCTCCTGCCTTCCCCAATGGTTCAAAACAGCGATTATAAAACACCTCTACAGACAATAAACGCATAAAGGAACGAAATATGAACAAAAACAAAACAAATAGCTAGTTTTATGAAACAGATTCTCACCTGATCATCACAAAGCCGCAACAACACCGCGAATAATCCAAACCGCACACGTACGCGCCCAGAAACACATCTATATCACATCAGCGCGACATAAATCATGATAAAAAACACAAAACAACAGAAAATGAACATTAAACACCGATGGAAGTGGAGGAGTTTCGCACTGCTGTTGAGGAACAGAACACACAGAGCGGTGTTTCCGGTGACGTCACGACCGCGCGCCACTAGCGGCCTGGAGCGGTAGTGCACCCAAAAATATATATAAAAAAACATGGTAACGTATAAATATATAAAATGCAGAATAAATAAATAAATAAATACAAAATGAATGAATGCATCTTCTTTCTTTCTTTACAAATATATAAACACTTATGTATTAAAATATAAAGAAAACAAAGAAATAATACTAAAAATAAACCAATAAATAAAAATAAATCAACAAACGAACAACAATAAAAAAAAATAAAAATAAATGCATGTTTTTTATTTTTTAAAAATACAAACATATATGTATTAGAATGTGAAGAGTTCATTTGCAAAAACGGATAACTCAGTTTTTAACAATTTTCAAAAATCACGTTTTTTTCAATCGAACTGCAGTTGGGTTATTTTGATTAGCTTAAAAAATAACAAAAAAGAAACACAGCTAACTAACACAATAAAAACGTGATAACATAATAAAAAACATGATTTAAAAAAAAAAACAAAAAAAAAACGGAGTTATCTGTTTTTGCACATAAACTCTTCACATAGAAAACAAATAAATGAAAATTAATAAAAATACAAAACAAATAAAATGCATGTTCTTTCACTCTTTAACAACATATACAAATTTATTTATTAAACTATACTGAACATAAACAAATAAATACTACTAATAATAAAATGAATAAATAAGCAACTGGTTGTGGGTGCCGTGTTCCTTGATTTACAAACAGCATTCGATACACTAAATCATAATATCTTATTATCTAAATTATCACATTTTAATTTCTCGGAAGATACGATAAAATGGATTGAGTCTTATCTTACATCAAGGAAACAGTGTGCCCAGATTAAAACACACATATCTTCTGTAAGAGATTGTTCTGCGGGGGTTCCTCAGGGGTCAGTCCTAGGGCCACTACTCTTCCGTTTGTACTTGAATGACTTTCCAGATGTTTGTCCTGATGCACATATTCAAATGTACCCTGATGACTCACACTGTGATTAATGTACATGATAAAAATTTGTTGTGTTCTACAACTGGAATAATTTACCAGTTAATATTAGACAGTGTTGCACCGTAGCACAGTTCAAGCTACATTTGAAAATATGGTTAAAGATGAGTCAGTTGTGACCATTGAGTATTTTTGTATCTTGAATGGTTACAAAACTTTGGTGAGCTGTCAAATTTTTAAAATTTTTTGAAGGGTGATGCTTTGTAGTATTTATAGGGGATGTTTTGTAGAAATTTGGATTGTAGTTTCTATGTGGGCGTACGAATTATATACAAATAATGAATTAAATAAATAAAAAATAAAAATAATTAATACATAAAATAAACAAATATAAAAGACATATAACATTTACTAATGTACTAAAATATATAGAAAATAAATAAAAATAGATAAACAAAAACAAGACATTTATTTTTATTTAGTATGTACTAAATATAAATAAATACCAAATAAATAAACGCACGTTTTTTCTTTAGAAATATTTAAATATACATTTATTTGAATATTTTGAAAATAAATAAAAAGTAAAAACTAAATAAATAAACACATATTCTCGTCTATATTGCCCTTTGAATAGCAAATGCAGATATTAATAAAAAAAATGTTTAAAACAAAAGATTTCATAATAGTAACATAGGCTATAAATAATAGTATAATATAGTTACTTAAAGTAACATTTTACGTAATTTCTTTTGCAGTTTTGAACTTTATTATTATTATTATTATGTCACTGTTTTACTGTATTTGTCGATGAAAACATCACAACGAACCGTCTGAGGAATGAACGGTTCTTCCGGTCGTCGTCTCGGAAACCGGTCGTGTGCTTCCGGTCGCGATGCTAAGTGCGCTAACGCTAGCGGGCTGCTGGGAGTTTCCAGCTCAAATGTAAGATTGAAATAAACAAAGAGAAACATCGATGTCCGTCAGTCGACGCTGTTTGGACAGAGTCCTCTCGATCGTGAGTCTCGCATCAGCTGCTCTTCATTTAAACGTGTTTACAGACGATTAGCAAAGATTGAGGATAAATATAGAACATTTACTTACTTTACTACCATAACTTACAAGAGATGCTACTTTGCTACTATTTTGTTATTGTGGTGTTATTTCGTTTATATACTATTATGGTATTTATTAATATTGTTATATTTATATTTTTCATATTTTGAAGAGCTTTTTCAGTTTTCATTTAAGTTTAAGATTCAGCAATCAAATTATCTAATATATGTATATGTGTGTGTATATGAAAAAACATGTGTATATATATATATATATATATGTGTGTGTGTGTGTGTGTGTGTGTGTCTGTGTGTCTGTGTGTCTGTGTGTGTGTGTGTGTGTGTG